TGGATGGATGGATGGATGGATGGATGGATGGATGGATGGATGGATGGATGGATGGATGGATGGATGGATGGATGGATTCAATTACTTGACGAAATTAATAAAGTTGGAGCTGCATTCCCTTTTTACCATCAATAACTGTGGCAAAATATGTTCTAAAAGCAGCTTTTAGGTGGTTTAATTTCCTGTCTTAGACACATGATACACATGGGAGTTACCAATTAATGAACCAAAAAATACATTTTTGGGAATTAATAGGGAAGACAGTCCAGTCATATTCATTAACCTTTCATAACCCTTTTTTACTCGATGTCCAAACAGATGTTGATGGTGTTATATTAATTTTTTAAGGTCTATACTGATAAATAACTTGTAACTGATCAAGGATTGAGAGGCTGAGGAAACAATTTCTGCTGCCTTCACAGAGAGGGATTCATGGAGGCCTTTGGAGGCACTGTGACATGTAACTGATAATTCACTTCCCATTCCTCAACATTTTTGCAGAATATAGGGTGTGATATTGAACCTCAACTGAGGTATTGATATTACCCTTCTTTAACAGAGTATGTCTTGGCAGCAGCAGGAGGGACCCTCAATGGCCACTGTATGGATGAGATAGAAGCTCAATCCAAAAAAGTTAAAACACGATCCACTGGACTTTCTTTCCAAGTTTGAAGACATTTCGCTTCCCATCCAGGAAGCTCATTCAATTCAAAATTTCAGAAAAAGCATTCAGTTCCAGCTTTTATAAAGTGGACCAAAAACAAAGCCTTGTTTTGGCTTAGAAAACATGCAAACTGAACAAGACGAACGAGTCCATCTTTTAGGAATGGGCAGTCGTTTGGCTTCTTTGTTTGCTTGTAATACCTAATACCTGTCTATGTCTCTGAAAGGGTGGTCTTAGACAGGTATCGGGTATTTGGGCAGTGTTCTTAATTTGGCTCTACGTTGGCCTCACTGAGGTGTGTTTGTGTGTGTACATACAGTATAGATGTACGTACAGTTGTGCTTGAAGGTTTACTTATCCTCCCATTATAGGAAATTATAAATTCACACTAGTAATTCAATTAACACTGATGAGCTGGGGATAGAGTAGGTGTCAATGGTCTTAACTACACTGGTGAAGCATCGCTAACACTACCTGAGCTGCTGGCTAATGTTGATTTGTGAGGACATTTGGAATT